GATTCTTGTTATGATGACTAGTCAACATTCTATACCTGTGTGTGAACTAAGCTATGTAAATTATATTATAGATTTGACTTCAATAAATTATGTTATGCAACTTATTTACAAATCTGACTTTATAATGTGTTTTTGTTGCGCTAGGCATTAGTGGATTTTTTTTTTATTCAATATTTATTGTTCGAATACAGAAAAATGTCTACTTGTAATCATTAAATAATTCAGTATACACATTATGGCGATCTATTTATCTTTCATTAATTACAATAAAATCGTATTGCTGATCAAAAGTGTTAAGTTGCCAACTGACACTGTATGACAATTGTGGAGAAAAGTTGATCTTTTGGAAAAATTCTGAATTTTATTGGAAACATTTATCACTGAAAGTGTGAAAAGGATTATCAAGGTCAGAGGGTCGAGATATTGTGGTAAAGAAGTAGAAGGGGACTTGAATTTGAGAAGATTGAAAGCATAGGACGGACGTTGGTTATTTATTATTTATTAAAGGAATGTAACGAGGAAAGATTGTCTGCGAAAGGAAGGAAAAAGCCACCATAATTCAGTGTACTTGTGAGAGACACGGGAGTGTCCCACTGACAAATCTGACAAAGCTATTCATAAGTATCTTCAACCCGTCACTGAGATTCACCGAAAGACTACGGTACACCACAGAGCCGCAGTCAAAGTGGGGGAAGATGAGAGAGGAAACTAGGAGTCTATGGCGGAAGCAACTGAATAGTTAGAGGGTAGACATTGTGCGTCGGTAGATGGCAGTGTTGGGCATTTACTCGAGTAAATGCCCAGCAGTGACGTCACTAGTGATCACTCTTGGAAGCTTACCCATGAGTAATTTTGAAAATTACTAATGAAATATGTTTCCTCCATGAGTAAATCACTCGTGAAAAATGTTATCTCCATGAGTAAATTACTCATGAAGCACTTTAACGCCATGAGTAATTTTGAAAAAAAAAAAATGTTTTTATTTTATTTAACCTGATTTTTTTTTCACCTTTCCGATTTATACGATATGAGGGTCGACTTGTATGTTTTGGGGGGCCCTTTTTATGAAAATGATATCGAATTTGGGATTGGGCCCCCAGGCCTCGCCTTTTTTTAACTTTTCGGCTTAAATAGATATCAGGACCGACTTATATGTTTTGGAGAGCGCTTTTTATGAAAATGGTATCCATTTTGAGATTGGGCCCTCCGGGCCTTGACTTTTTTTAACTTTTCGGATTAAATCGATATCAGGGTCGACTCTTAGGTTTTGGAGGGCGCTTTTTATGAAAATGATATCAATTTGAGATTAAGCCCCACTGGCCTCGATTTTTTTTAACTTTTCGGATTAAATCGATATCAGGGTCGACTCTTATGTTTTGGGGGAAGCCCCAAAATGCCCAATCTCAAATTTGATACCATTTTCATAAAAAGAGCCCCCCCAAAACATAAGAATCGACCCTGATATCGATTTAATCCGAAATGTTAAAAAAAGTCGAGGCCCGGGGGCCCCAATCCCAATTTCGATATATTTTTCATAAAAAGGACCCCCCAAAACATACAAGTCGACCCTGATATCGAATAAATCGGAAAGGTGAAAAAAAATTAAATTAAATAAAATAAAAACATTTTTTTTTTTTAAATTACTCATGGTGTTAAAATGCTTCATGAGTAATTTACTCATGGAGATAACATTTTTCACGAGTGATTTACTCATGGAGGAAAAATATTTCATGAGTAATTTTCAAAATTACTCATGGCTAAGCTTCCAAGAGTGATCACTCGTGACTTCACTGCTGGACATTTACTCGAGTAAATGCCCAACACTGGTAGATGGTAGATGGGGGACATATGGTGATTTCACGAGATGGTTTAATAAATGAAGAAGACTAAATTTTTAACAGAGGAGTAGAAGGTGATGGGCTCGTCATTTAGGTATAGTATGGGAGAATTGGAATTAGATCGGAGAAGGCGCTTGGAGCCAATGACAATGGCCTGAGTTTTAGCAGCGTTTAACCTTAATCCATATACATTTGCTCAGCCACTGATTCGATCTAGCTCTTCTTAAATCTTGGCAAATGCTAGTTATAACTCAGAGGGAGAAAAGGATAGATAGATGTGAGAATCCTCTGCATAAAAGTGTATTGTCTACTTTTTTATGTGAGGTCTATTGTCTTCGTTTACCAATTATGCTTTATTGTCTGTTACTGTCCTATTGAATCCTGAACTAGCGAAACTTTGACTATTTTAAGGGTATTTAAGAGATTCAAAGCTTTTATATGAATGTTTGAATTATACAATAGTATCCGCTATTTATTAAAATAAATAATTAAAACTATCACTCTCAGAAACGTTACTGGGGGCTCTCTGAGGGCCTGATTAAACCAAGCTTTAAAGTCTTTCGTTTTTAACCCGTTTTCCTTGTAGTATTAATTTGAATATTAACTCAACTTATTTAATTCATGATCAGATCTAATAATGGAAAATCTAATTAAAAATTAATTGGATCTTATATTAATATCATCACAATAGCTAAACAAAAGAAGTCACTAAGCTTTTATTTATTTTATTGTTTGATTACGTTGTCAAATATTAGTTAGTGTCGATTCAAGATTATTGTGATTTATTGTATTTAGATTAATGGAATAGTAATTGAAGCAGTTAAGTATCATAAATGTAAAATAACATAAAGATAAACATGACAACCAAGCAATCCAAGTATACATTTCAAAATTTTTGAATGTTTAATATTGTAGGTATAGCTAAAAATGTAGCTAATTATTCAATTAAAATATTATAAATACTATTTAGTTGAACGACCAATTATATCTGAAACATTAAATTCTTGTACTAAACGATTATCTTACTCAGTATATATGTTCGAACAATATTTTTTTTTTGTTCGTCAGGGAATTAGCAGCTGCCTTGTAATGATAATCTTCTGTTCCAAAAAAATAATTTAATTCATTATAAATTCAACATATCTGTATTGGCCATCTCGGTGAAGATCGTTACATTGTTTCAACCAGATTCTTGATTCTCATCCTGAACCTTCCAGTTTAATTGGTGTTGGAAATGGGTTCGAGTGTTTCTCATGGTATTTAGATGTTAATTGTGATTCAATATCACAGAGTTTATTTGAACCTTGATTTGTTAGCATGTAGTGACCATGGTGAAATACATTCACTCTTTTCTCACAAGTTACCATACACCAGATAAGTATTTTCATTTCGGAAATGGCTGAATTTCACCATGTTCACAAACGGTGCTGCTAAAGGAATATTTGACATCTCATTTTAAAGCTTATTGAAAGGATTTAGTATATAATCAGTCAACCTGGGGAAGAGCTTGGTGAAATTCGGCCATTTCTGAAGTTTTCAAAAATCTACAATAAAGAAATACTATACAAAAATATATGAAAAAAATAAAACAAATATTGTGATATATTTAATTGATATTACTAATACGCAATTTATATAAATCTGAGACTTAGAAGTTATGCTGTGAAAGAAACACACTTTTCTTTAGGAACTTTAGGAACACAATTTCATATTTTGACACAATTATTTAAATTGAGAATTAGGTCACTTAATTATTATTCAGTAAACTACAAAATGTTCATTGATCCTGTTGTTTATTCCACAGGGTTTTTATGCTAACAATGGGATCCTCTACAATGTTTTAAAATAGAGCCTCAATACATCAGGCCAGGATACACCGACAACTTCAGCACTGATCACTAGCACAAATATTAACCGATTTAATCACTAAAGATATTATTAAAGATATTATCTTAATATCTGATAGTGGACGGTGATGAGGCTGTCGGTATTTTCCGGGCCTGAGGTATCGAGGCTTTATTTTAAAACATTGAAGAGGATCCCATTGTTAGCATTAAAAACCGAGATCGAAATGTCGAATAAACAACAGGATCAATGAACGTTTTGTAGATTATTGAATAATAATTAAGTAAACTAATTCCCAATTTAAATAATCGTCTTAATGTGTATATATATATATATATATAAATATATACATATATATATATATATATATATATATATATATATATATATATATATATATATAATATATATATATATATATATATATATATATTACATGAAATAAATGTTGTAATGCAAAAGGGGAGCTGATGACATCCTTCTTGTACATAGAATGATTTGAGAATGGTTAATTCAAATCAATAGAAATTTAATATTGCTTTAAATAGTTGAATAATAAAACATTTAAATGGCTATCGATTTTTATTTCTTATGTATATTTAGCCTTTATCGATATTTTAAATTTGATTTGGTTGTTTACATTGAAAATGCCCAACAAATTATTATTAAAAGTTTATGATGAATAGTTATATATCATATATGTACTAAACATGTTCCTCTAATTTTAAAATGAATCTTTTTTATCAAACAGAATACATTAACCTTGATAAAAAACAATAAGTAACAGAAATATATACAATAAGAGGAATAATTTTAAATCACTGCCGAAAATAATGTATTTCCAAGAAATTCATAACTTAGGTACTTTCTTCGATCAATTTATATGTACTTTTATAAAAATACTTCGAAACAACAACGTAATTCAAATGTTTGAGAAGTCTGGTCTTTTAAATCTTCAATCGGCAGTAATCTTGGAGGCTTGTGTAAGGAGCTCATAAATGCCTTGATTCGTAATGTTTGTTTATTTATCTTTTTAAATTATATAAATTAAATGTTTATTTATGAAATAAAATTGAGATAGCTACATTATTATTTATCACAGGTGATACGACAGAAAATAATAGTATTCTGAAACTTTGGTTGACTTGTTTCTAAACTGACTTGTTATCATGATAGTACAATACTAATATTAGATAGAAAACTGTAATGTCAATTGATCATTAACTTTGCATTCTGAATTATAATTGTCATTGATGAACTATTAGTTAAACTATATTTGTAAATATTTGAAACCCATGTTTTACTCGTAAATGGGACGTATATCCGTTGCTTTATTATTGATTTTAGACTTAAAAGCTAAAATGAAATACAATGAAACTTGTATAATATTTTATTTACAAATATTTATGATTCTATACATAGAAATAAATAAACACATGGGATTCGATAAAATGAACTATGTACAATCTCTAGTGTTATGGAATCCTTCATTTAAATTCAATAAATAAAGAGCATAACTATTATGAGCGAGATCTTATAATGCTATAAGTTTAGAAATGAATTTACATACGCTATCTCCCCGAGGCATTGGAAACTCCAGCTTCCAGAGCTGCACCTGGTGAAGGAATTCTCGATCCGAATGGGAGAATGTCTAAGGACTGAATGTGAGCTCGGACTGCTACTCCGGCCGGAAAAGAAAAGTAGTTCTTGTTCGAACTTAAAAATGTGCTGTCCCCTACTTGAATTCCTCCTGTTGGAGCGGCTATTGGCTTAGGTTTGTAGTAGTTTGTGCCATAGAACTCTTTTGGCGGTAAATCCTCAAATGGCGCTTGAAGAAAATCATCAGGAGTGCCTGGTTTAGGTGGTCTTTTAGACGGTTTATTTGGGTCGTCTTCTGGAAACGCTGAAGGAAGATTGTCTAGTGGTGGAGGAGGACCAGGCCGACAGCATTGACCTGGAAGTGTGAATGTTGGAGACCCTGGTTTCGGTCTTCCACTCGGGTAACCTTCAGGATATCCTGGGTAGCCTTCTGTTGTCGAGCTTCCTTGGCCTGTAGATGGTGTTGGATCAGAAAAACCGGTTGTAGGAGGGGGATTAGGTTCATTGTACAATCCTGGTGGTCCTGTTGGACGTGAATCACTTTCTCCACCAAATGAAGGAGGAGGCTTGAATACACCTGGTCTCCCCGTAGGTTTTGTTGTACCCCAAGTCCCTGATACAGTAGGTGTTGAAGAAGTCGTCCAGCTACCACCGCCTTGTGTTGTAGAACTCCAGCTTCCTCCAACTGTAGATGATTCGGTAGATGACCAACTTGGCGATCCATCGCTTGTATTTTCTCCGATATCCCCAGGACCTGTTTCTCCACTGCCAGTGGAACCTCCAACTGATGTACCAGGTGTACCTTGATCATATCCTGAATCACTTGGTCTACCAGCACCTGAACCGCTGGGTCTACCTGCGCCCGAACCACCAGGTCTACCACCGCTTGAACCGCCAGGTCTACCACTGTTTGAACTACCAGGTCTACCAGCACCTGAACTACCAGGCGGTCTTTTATCTCCAAAAGCGGAGTCTCCCTGCAGCCCAAAGTCATCCGGAAATCCGTCATTATTCAAATCTAACGGAGAAAATGGACTTGGTGATGTTGTAGGAAAAGGTGATGTGTTTGAGGGAAAAGGGGGTACAGGACCAGATGTCTGTGGTGGGATAAATACAGGAAAGTTAGGAAAAGAAACACCCGTTCCTTTTTTTATAATTCTATATCCTATGCCTGGACCCGCTATGTACTCTACTGTTCTTTGTTGACCCTTGTCATCTACATATGTATATGATCCTCTCACATTGCCAACAGCATCGCTTTGTTCAGTCCTTCTCTGGTCTGGTCCAGCAGCTACAAAACGGTATGAGCCGTCTAGTTTTTGTAGAATTGAGGTTTTGCCTCTCGGATTTCCACCAGGTTTTCCAGCAGCACCTTTGTAAAATAATCCTGAGAAAACATTAGAATCAGGGAACGGAGTTTTTACGTTGAATCCTGTCCTAGCGCCGGCTTCATAAGCAACGTCATGACGCTCTCCAATGTCGTCGTAAAAATAATATTTACCATTAACGTGACCATTCGAATCCGAGGCCTCTTGCTTTCCTTGTGTTGGAGTTCGAAAGGCGAAACTATAGCTAGGGTCTTCGTTGGGATCATGGTATCCATCGTAGGTTGGATTATAGTTTGGTGAGTCTGGACTTACGGGAGGGTTGTACGGGATCTTTGCTTGAGACAGGTCCATTTTTCGGGCAATATTTGGGCCACGGGCTCTGAACCCACGCCTTCCTGCAGTGTACTCTGTGTTTACCACTATCTTCTTTTCCGGGTCGAGGGAACCAAACCTGTCAACAGAAAAAAAGAAGACCAGAATACTTTCCTTAATAATATTTGTGAACATTACATCATTAAACGAAGAAATATTTTCAGCATTTATTCGCGTTACATGACTAAAGTGTTATTTATAAATAGAGAAAAGCTATGTACAAGAAAATTTAACGTTAATTATAAGGGTAAAATAATTCAATTATGTATTCGAGAATATTATTTTGACGTCATTATTTTCTTGTAAAAAGAAGTAGAGTTTTTAAAGCTACTTTTTTTTCTTTATGTCTCTTTGGTCATGTGATTTGGCTATTACGAAGAATGGCAATTCTTCTTGGTGATATCCATATCATATCAATAGTTTTTCGTCCTTTTGGTTTACAAATATTGTTGCAAAATATTACCTTCCTGCCACTTGGTTTTGCTGATTAGCCACCGCAGCATGATAGTGCTGCCCTCTGTCGCCTGTCTGGAAGCCGAATTGGTAGCTGCCGTCCACCCTGACGTCGTTGTACTCGCTACCAACTGGAGGCACCCCGCGCTGCCCTTCCGCTGCAGCCACCAGCCACACGATCTGTTAACAAACAATTTTTTTTTCTTTCTTCTCTTTATGATATAACATTAAAATTTATTTTTTTGTAAACTAATATGCTCTTTAGCAAGTGGAATCTTTGAAAAGTTTAATAAACTATTTACTCTGTGCTTAATGAGATAAATACATTTTTTTTATTTGTATTTTATTATACAGAATTGAGGGAGGTTCGACAAGTAGGGGTTTGTTTTCTAGTTTTCCCAATCGATTACAACCTAACTATGTCCCTATTTATTCATATTTTTCGGCATACCATGAAATGAGTTTATTTAGCCTATAAATTAATTAATTTTAACCTTCGACTTACGTACCTGTCTTATATTTTACTTACACTTTCATATATATAAAATATGTAGCAAGGGAAAGTATAACGACCGTTAAAAACTTTGAATCTTAGTTTTCAAAGGAAATACACCTTTTAAGGTCCTCTGGGATCAGATAATCCTTACTCCTCATCTTTAAGCTTTTCTGAGACCAAATAACCAAATTTAGCAAAATGATGCTTTGTATCTGTGTTTGTGTGTGAACAGCCTCGTTTAAAAAAGAAAGGACGCACAAAACTGAAATTAATACCATACGACAACTATATACCTGATATGTTACTGGTGGTTTTGATAAAATTGACAAACCTAAGTTCCTTTTCATGTAATGTTTTTTTCTTATATAAAGTTATAACGGTCACAAAAAAAATAATTATAACGTTTTATTTATTAAAATTTGTATTTTTTTTTTTAAGACTGAATACTGATATTTAATTGGTAATATTAAGGACCTTAATTAAATTAGCCCTTGAAGTCATTAGGCCTTAAATTTATTGATTGTAAATGGAACATGTGGTGGAACAGAGAGATCTATCCATATTTATAGCTAATTATCATTTTTAAACTTTCTGAATGAAAAATTCTTACTTGCTCGTATTTTATGCTTTTTGTTCTAAACAGATTTAATTTTTTTAATAATATTGAATAAGACTTCGAAACAAAGGTAGTTCAGAATCAAAAATTTCAGTTAGTAAAAGATAAATTCAGTAAGCAATTAAAAAAAAAAAAAAAATATTGAGAGAGTAGAAGGTGATAAAATAATAGTTGACACCTCCTTTTTCCTTTCTTCTTTTATGAGGTCTGAGTCATGCAGATAATAATTCATCATCAAAAAGCCAACAGTTATTCCACTAGCTGTGGTTAATTTTTTTCCCTATACATACAAACATTCTCTTAATCGAGCCGATAGCTTTCACGTTAATCCAATATTCTAGTAATAGTGATAAAATATTTCATAGTATATTTATCAAAATAATTTTTTTTTTTAAGTATGTGAAAAGTAGGGAACAGAAGTAAAATGTTCTCACATTTTCTATTGGGTACATATTTAACTATAAATTCAAGTCCGTGACTTGCTATTTATGAACAAAATCTTCATAAGTTCTAATTTTTTTTTTAGAACTTATTTATTGACAAATTTATCAATCGACCTCGATTAAGAAAATTTATAATAGTGTCCAGAGAGCACATTAAAACTCTATGTACAATAAAGTTAAACAGCAAAATAATATAACTAAAACTAAATATATATCTAATATATATATATATATATATATATATACATACAAATATACTTTTATACTATATTTAAAAATTCATTCATTCAGGGAAACTCCGAGCCAAGTCTTTCCTCAATTCTCGAAAATTCCAGCGCCTTTCACTCAGATTATCATTATTGATAACAAGGAACAGTAAGAATAAAACGTAAAGGTTTTTTAAGTATAGTTTTTTTTTAAAGAAAAACACGCAATCCAGTGAATGAAGTAAATAGAATTTTATAAAATCTTTGTTCGACCATCTGTGCGTCAATCCTCAAAATTCCTAAAAAATGTCATCAAATTGAATGAACGGTAATAAGTTTATAAGGGCACAAAGCATAGATTCGATATCAGGAATCCGTACTGTATAATATCTTATTTATGTTTCCCAACGTTATATTTAACTTTATTTATTTATTGTTTATTATTAAATGTTATATTTAATTAGCAGGGTTTTTTTATTATATATATAAATTTTATTACTAGAAACTTTTATTTTGTCACTCACAAATACAAATTAATTCCTGTAATAAAGATCTGGGTGAAAAACGAAGTTTATAACCAATCTATCCAAAAAATCATTACTTTTTGGAATTATTTTATTATTTTTTTTATAAATAACTTTTTTTTTGGCAATCAGGTTTATTAAGATACATACCAAATCATGGAAAAACAATAAATAAAAGCTTTTCAACAATTTATTGTAGTAATTTTTGCTGAAAACAGGGGTACTTTTACTTGGCAGGATATAAAATATCATACTTTTTTTACAAAACTTGGGCTTAATCTCAAATTTTCCTCTAGTAAAGCTCAACTTAATTAATACAAACTTAGAGCTTATTAAATTAAGATGCTTTTGTAAAAGTGGAGAAACTGTAGTATAGTTGAATGGTGATAAAATAAATGGTGAATAATGATTTTCCTAAAAACAGAACTTAGCTTAGTTTACTACAACTTAGCCACTCAAAAGTCTTATGTAAATGGTTTTGACAATGATAAACTCTATGTTCGTTTAAAGGAAATTTCATCTTGTTTACAATGAAACAATTATTAATTACTTAAACTAAATATTTCTTAAGTTATTGCTTTCGATTGAATAAAAAACATAAAAACACAAAGTTTGATTTCATACATGGATTTCATGTTTCTATGATTTTTTTTAAAGCTCTTCAGGTCAGCTATCACTCCTATAAAAACTTCATAAATAAAAATAAACTTCATAAATAAAACTTCATAAAATATATATATATATATATATATATATATATATATATATATATATATATATAGCTCGATGGAAGCGATGTATATATATCGATATTCCGTCAGTTAATTATCTAATTTTTTCATAGTTTATATTTATCCATTTTTCGTTTATAATGATAATGAGGGACGATTGATTATTTCAAATAAACAAAGTTAAAGGTATTTTAGATATAGAAATTTTAAATATTCAGTATTTAACCCCCGTCAGAGTATATCATTAGAGCCTTTTTTATAAAACATGACACATAGAAACATACATTCATGCACACATATGAACTGCGAAGACCTTAAAATGTATTATTTCGGTTGAAAGTTAGGATTCGAAATTGTTTACGATCATAATGCTTCTTCTTTCAATAAATTTCATATAAAGTTAGGTAAATGAATGTAAAACTATTGAATACAAACAATAACAAATCGGTATGAGAAATAAGAGAAAACATTTTATCATTGAGTACAATGCGAGACACCTGACTAACATAATGGACTGGAATAAGCAGAAGTGATGTAACATAGGCTGCTCCCATCCCAGCCCATTATGACTTATGTCTCATTTAAATTCCAAGTTCAAGGTTTGATTGTAAATCTTTCCTGATACTGATCATGCAGTGTATTTCAGAGATGATTTTTAACTTGAAGAAGGCCAAACCGTCTCCTGTTAGTTTATGAGGGAATGATGTAAGAACATTATTGACATTTCAATATTTTCACATCTGTCCTTTTAGAGGTATATTGTATCGCACTAAAAATATAATTCTAACCACTGTGAGCTGTCTGTAAAGTAGCAGAGGTTCGGATTATGAATTGTTTTCTTTTTTAAAAATGTTGCAAATTGGACATTTTTGTAACGACTTTTAAAATAGTCAGAAGTTTTAATCACCAAATACGGCTAACACTTAACTCAAATCAGGCTGATACAAGCGGTAAATTCAAGTATTTAAAATTATCTGTTAAATCGACAATAAAGAATGTTAAAAAAAAAGATTATACTGAATGTTAACCGATGACGAAAATGCAACAATAATATTTTGACTAAGTAACCGCGATATGAAGTTGTCTTTAGATTTCCTTATTTTTCATGTAAACGAAATTCAAGTATTAGTTAATTTACATTAGACCTTAGATAAAAAATAAATAAAAATTAGTATATAATTAACATTCAATTAGACAGAAATAATCTATCATTGACTAGAATAGGATTTAGTGCCCTTATTCTCAGGCGGCCGAAGGAACTCTTTCAATGAGTGGATGCAATTAATGGATGGTAATTACCCTCGATAAGAATAAAACACCATTGTTGTTTATTTATCTCAGCCGTTTATAAATAAAGATTAAAATCTCACCGTTTTTATCTCTGCCGCCTTATTTGTTCAAGAGAGGTGGTGGAGAAAATGAATATTGCTAGTAGATTAATTGTTAACAAATTAGAGGTTTTTTCTATGCATAACAAGATATTCTGATTAAAAGTCAAGAAGAAATAGGCTAGTATAATTAATTTTGAGTTTCACATATCAGTTTTGTCATGAAAATATAGTCAATACGAATGAAAGAGTAATATATTTATTAAAATAAACTATTTTTTACATTATGATACTTTTTTATCAAAAGAAAAATTAAACGTACAGATTAAAGATGAATATAAATGAAATAATGTAGCTAGAGTGTTCCTATGAAATTTCTTCCAAGTATACTCAGTCTAGCATACTCACCATTTACATCAAAAACAAGTAATTTAATTTTTGAAGGTGGTTTAATCAAAAAATACATTATCTCTGATGTTATATAAAACATTTTAAATTTTCTCACTGGCAAAATGAGTAATAAAAAAAATGACAAAGGTGTATGTTAAGTTACAAAATTTTGAATAAAAACAAAAAAACATTCAAACTTGAATGAGAGTCAAAAACACCAATAATTATTTTAACCAAAAATGTTAGGTGGACGAAGATTAATAATTTGGCCCAGATACGTGACCAAGACGAGTCTTGATCTTGAGCAAGAGTCTCTCATCAGTATTGCAGTTACCTGTTCGCCTTTTAATGGAGATATTAGAGTAATTTTTCAGATAAGGAAAACCTAACAAAGCCCGAATGGAAAATTGGAAGAGTTAAATGCAAAAGTATATTGATTATACCAATTCTTTACATACAGTAATTAAAATTGTAAAATTATTAATAACTATTTTGCCTTAATTTTTATTCACAAAAACGATTTTTTTTTACCAGTCTTGGTTTCGGCAACATTAGTAGGTTGTCAGGTAAACGAATGTAGCGAACTAATAGGCTCATAAAACTATATTATTGATTTAATCTACTCTTCAGCATGTTCACTACCTACCGCATTTAACAGCCATTATATTCTTAACGATTGCATTTATTTTAACAGTTAAATGAAATTTGATAAAATTGGTATTAGACCATCACTATTTTTTAAAGATTTATAGAATACTTTATAAATAATCAAATTTCATCTTCACAATTCTACCAACTTTCTCTTACATCAGGACATCGCACTATAAGATCTGAAAGATCAATTTTTTAAAATATTGGAAGGAATTAGATAAAACTTATATCTAACAGATTTTATGTTGACAGACAAACATCTAAATTCCATTCGGATTTAACCTAGATCGAGTTATTTGTTTTAATATAAAGAATAACAGAAAATACACCTACACATGCATAAGCAAAAATTATGATAACGATTAAATGACAAAAATGACAAGGGATCTCCAGATACCAAACCTGCATAATGTCTGAAAATCTGATAAAAATCGAACAAATAGAGGGTCCATCATATCGATTTCACTACAGACAAAGAACGATTTTTTTCCTGTGGTGTCAAAAACGTAAATGAAAATGTTCAATTTTGAGCATAATTTTTTTTAATATCCCTTCAGAATACCAAGCTTCCCTACCTGCGGTTAGGAAGAATCAAGTGGGCAACGAACAACAGTTGAATTATTTTAAAATGGGCGCCTAATTCCTCAATTAAAGTAAATAAAATGTTGAGAAGGAGCATACAGGCATTCATTCATAGCGAAGAGAATTTTGACAAGATAAAGTTTAGAAAGTTTTGTAAATATTCTTGGATGTGTAAAATGTATCTTCCCTTAAAATTGATTTCAAATTTATCAAATAAATATTATCAGGCTATTGATATATACTTAATGGGATTCTTCCGAATCTTGGAAATCTGGAAAATACATTTAGTTATTCTTGAGAAAAATTAAGAAATCTTATGAAAAATCAATGAAATTCAGAGAATTTTATAGCTAGAATCTGGTATGATGACATTTTCTGGGATTGTGTGGGTTAGTACCCAGATTGTTTCACATCAAATTTCATCATATTCCATCTACTTTCGCTTCTATTATGTTATACGTCTATTTATCAAAACTGGATCATTTATCATTAGGATCATGGCAGGTGGAAAGTTTGGGATTAGCAGGGGTGTCCATCCCTCTAAGGTAGATGACGATATCATATCTCCCAATAAATTTTATTAATTCTTACAATAAACCAAGCAAAAGTTAAAGTAGTAAAAATGCAGTTCTTATACTATTACACTTACCGCAGTCTGTTCTGTTTTATTCATCTTCCCCGGTTTGGATGTTCTTTCAATTCAACCTTACGAAAATATGGTTACCTCCAAAAATTCATAACCCCATTAAAATGTCCTTTCCCCCTTCAAAATCCTTTAAAAACGTGTCCCCTCCAAAATTCCAAAACTTGCGTAAATTTGTATGGCCCTACCTTGCGCCATGCAACTCCAATTCCCTTACGAGCAACCCTGGAGATTAGTGAAAAAATTATCTCGTATAAAATTTCATAACTAATTTTCACTTAACGGATGCACAAAAGTTTTCCCCTAGATTCGCCTATATTTCGATTCTTTCGGTGTTGAAGAAATTAAAAAATATATATTAATCTATTCAGTTTTAAATAGAATTGTAATCTTCCAGTTAGTGAAATGTAAGTTTATTTGCGTATTTTTTCATGTCTCCAATAATAATGGTCGGGAAGCTAGGTTGACTTACTTTACAGGCATTTTTGTTTTTTAGAAGTAATAGACACAATTTGCACTAAATCGAAGGTCATGACTGGAGGGTGGTGCTGCGTTTTAAATCTTTAGGATGCAACACGATGCAACTTTTAGAGGCGTTAGTTATATACATATATTTTTTGCTGCTACATTTCGGCACCTTTGCGGCTAAATTAGCTGAAATTAGGTTAATAATGTTTTTCTCAGCTAGACAATACCATTAAATTTTGGATAAATTTCATCAAATTTTTGACCTGTATGAACGGTTTTTCGAGATTTAAATCTCATATCATCTCGCATCTCTACACCTCCTCCTAATAAAGTTGGAAGTTTACAATTCTTCATATAATTAAGTTGGAGTTGGGAAAGCGCCTTTAAGTATCATTGCCAACAACCCTTTCGTCCCAAGATGGCGGCGAAAAAAAAATCGTTTTATGACATTAAACAGCTTTAACAATATCCCAAAAGTCTTCCCACTTTAAATCCTACATTTATGTATATGACATACTTCACCTAAAAACCACTGGAACAAAAGTTTGATGAATACAAATTCTTTCCGAAAAACTCAATAAGTAACTTCAGATATTTATCAAGTAAAAAAAAAAAAATTGAAGAAACTATAGTATTGAAGAGATTTTTAGGAATGGCGTTTTGATTTTTTTTTTCTTTGAAATTCCTATAATTATTATTATATAATAAATTCTCATAAATTTATCGAGAGATTCCTAATGCACGTTTCAAAATTATTCTAGTTGCCTAAATAGCTTATTTAAAAAAAATATATAATTATTGAATATATTTTTCCTCATTTGTTAGGGAAAGCCGTGTGTAGGGATGCGCCTTACATTTTTGATTTATAACTGTTTGAAAATAATAAACCGTTGTGTAATAATTTCCAATGATTAAAAATTCGAATTAGTTTAGTATTAACCAAAAAAAATAAGCCCTTTTAATTTTTTTTTTCAATGAAAATATTTATTTTTACCGTTTAGAATATAATCTTAACTAGACTTAATTTAATCTTTAAATTAGAAAAAAATATGTCTTTGTGAGGATGAAAATAAATTTCATAAAAAAATATACAACATTAGACGCTTGTATTAATCTTGTATTAATAAATATTGTAAATAATGATCAATGCAACATTCTTAATTTATTTTAAAGAGTGTGATTACAACTACAAAAACTAACGTTAAACTTTCGTTGGACAATAATTAATATTCTTAATAGTTACTCCATTTATTCCTTATTTTATATAATACGATGATAATATAATACGATTCATGATTTTAAATGATAATGAAACTAATAAAATTAATATTATCATAGAATGAAGCATACTCCTAACATCATAATAATTTTTAATTAATTTTACAATTTAAGTTAATTTATGATTCCGTTAAAATATTTTGAAAAAAATAATTTTCATTAAAAAAGGCACATGCATGAATAATATTACGTATATTATTTTTCTAACACTAAATAAGAGAAGTAGAATATTTTCCTGGAATGGAATTATCTTTTTTACAACCCGTCAAACGACAAAGCAACGATATAATTAATGAAGCAGATGATTAATTATTCTAAGGACCACTCCCTCAAACCGATGAAAAAACTTATTTTCGATTTATTTTACATTCTGTGCATTGATATAATCATTAAAAAAAACTGCAATTTTATTTAACAAATAGTCATCTATTTAGATGCATATTTTGAACTAAGAAATAAATTGAAATTTGAATTCATTGCTGTGAGAAAAAAATGGCTGAAATATTTTGAAATGGAATGTTCTAATACTCCTAGTTCTTTTGATTAGTCACATTATATCCAACTCATCCTTGTCCCATGTTTTGCTATGACGTATACTTGATATATTTTTCTTCAGTTACCTCATTCACTCTTCACCAATTTAGTAAATTTGAAACCTACCACAAGAAGTAAAGTCCATCTGAGACCCATGAGGATAGTTCACTTTGCACACTCACTAACTCTCACTGACCCTCCACTTCGGGGGTTGGGATATATAGGAGGTTCTCCCCCACTATACCCTAAAGGACGTCTTCATCTGGCCGGAAAGATGAAGGAGATATGGATCGCCTCTTCGGAACTGCCGAACCGCCTGTGCTGGGAACCTCGGTCTAGCATCTATCGGAATGCTCAGAACATTCATTTTTTATTTTTTTATTAATAATGTCATGAATGAAGCCTGAATTTCCTTTTACGATTATTTCAATATTTTCAAATAGAGAAAGGCTTTTAAATAATATTAATAAAAATACATACATACATATTTTAACTAAAAAAAAAAAAAATCAACTCTAGAAATTAGTAAAACTATATCTATTCTAATGAAACTATACCTGGATATCTATTTAAACAGCTTGGTAGATTGTCAAGGAGATCGACAACTACGAACATTGAAACTTCTTGTAGTGGACTATTTGCCAGATGGTGTACTATGTTGTTTTAGGAACCCTACTTGTTTAAATATTCTCCCTAACCCTATTAAATGTTTAAATATTCTTTTATATCAATTTCTCTATCAATCTATCGAGGAAAGATTAAAAACGTTTTATGCAATAGCTTGTTCTTGTTTTGAGCTCAAATTGTTTCGAAACACTCAAGGATTACCCCGAATATCCCAATAACTTGTTTCATAGATTTTAGCACACACCCAAAAACATAACTTTACTTATTTTCACATTATAAATAATAGATAGTTATGAATTGGAATTATTGATATAAAACAATCCATTTAAATAGTAAATAAAATTAATGGTAGAAAGTCAAGCAATGTTAGCTTCTCCCTGAGGAAGATTTTGGGTCCTGCTTCGACAATAGACTACAAGCCAGTCCCCTCAAAAACTCATGTACGATATTTCGGACTATACTTGGACAAAAAACTCACCTGGAACATGCACACCAAATTAAAAAAAAAAAAAAGAACTGAGTGGACGATACAAACAACTAGTACACAAATCTTCTTTCAGCTTACAAAGCAACCGACTAATCTACACCACCATACTACGCCTATTTGGACATACGGAGCAGAACTTTGGGGTGCCACAAAAGATGTCCGCATAAACATGATACCCCCTGGTATATTTGGAACCACACAGCGACATGAACATTCCAACAGTAAAAACCTGCATACATAAGAAATACGCCACATTTCCCACTTCAACTATTAATCACCCTAATCCGCTTGTCCTCTCTCTTTCTTCCTCCCTGTTACCAAGGGAGCATCAAAGAAGACTAGAAAGGTAGTAGCCTCGAGATTTGCTCACAATATCAATATCAATCAAATAAGAGATAAAACGAACGACAGCACATTTCCTAGATGCGTTTAAACGCAGTTACAAATATAACATAAAATAAACAAAAAAGGAAAAAAAAAAAACCTGTACCTGTATCACTACAACCCATGAAGGGTCTGGGGTTCAGTACTATTTAGGGAAGCACTGTTTCTAGGTCAATGGTTGTGCAAGGAGGTGATTTGACCGAGATCACGCTCAACCGCCAGGTTTTCCTCCTTAATTAATTATTTAATTAAGGATACCCACTTTATAGGGGCTGGGTGTGCCCCAGGAGGGTCTCCCGACCCAGGATCACCCCAGTTTTTTATTTTAAATAATGAACCATTGTGATCGACCAAAAAATTGAAAACAACCCCCTGTCAAAATTTGAGGTTTTACGTTTCAGAATAAGTAGTATTCGAAAAAAGAATACAAATTTTTTTGTCCGTCACCCGTCTGCCGTTCGCCGTCCGCACATTTTCTTCGAAACCACTGGACCGATTTTTTTTCCAAATTTAGATTTAAAATTAGAGGTCACCCACGGATGATCCACTTAATCGACATTTCTATCCGCCTTTTCCTTTCAAGATGGCGGCAGAAAAACCTGCATTGCTATAGACTGTAGTGCCTAAACGAAAGTCTTCTTCTCGACACCCTTTAAATCTATCTATATAAAATACTTCAACGAAAAAAAGTTATGAGGGATGGTAAAATTAAATTCCGAATAACTCAAAAAGTATATACTTTTTTGTCGATATGGTTATTTAAAAATTTAAGGAATTTTCTAGAGAATCGTTAAAATTAGGAGCAAAGATATGGTCTCTAGTTTTTTTTTTATATGTTCTTCTGCAAAGGTTATATCATTTGTTTCGGTTTTTGAATTGTGAATGTGTTACTGAAGCAATGCTAATTTTTTTTGCATATTACTACTGAAAAAAAAATAATGTTTAGTCCAATAATAATTGGAATAACCTTTTATTTCTTTTTCCTTGTAACTAGGACGGCAATATTATTTTAGATGTATAATTGTTTGGAAATAATAAACCATTGTGAAATAATTTGCAGCGTTTTTTTTTTTTTTTTTTAGTATAACTGTAACAGGGATCAGTAATTTGTCAAAACTCTATTGGGTGCACAGAAAGTCGTATAGAAATACACAATTTCTTATTTTTATGTCTCATAAAAATGAATATCTACATTGACTTTCGCAGATCACTTTCTAAATTCTCCATAGTACTTAAATTTTGAAATATTTTAGTCCAATTATCCAAGTGAAATTTAGTCGTTATTATTTCATTTTTTTGGCGCTATTGCTTTCCCTTCCCGCCTCTTTGACTCGGCGTCACATCAAAATACGATTTTGTTGCTCATTACAAAGAGAATGAAATGCTCAGCATTTCTTATCTCTGTAACCTCGCTTACAGGATGCATGTCCGATTTTGAGTTTCTGAGGTATTTTACCACATATGTTCCACGAAACTCGTTATCATTTGGTTTTCGACATTATTTTTCCCGTTTCGTCTCTCAAACATACCGTAGGGTTAAGATACACTTTTGAAAAATAGTTCATTATAAAAAGGATGAAATGATGAACATTTTCGTCGGTTACAATATGCATATCCGATTTTTAGTTTCTGAGATATTTTAATTCCAATGCCAAAACATTTCATTTCGACTCGAGCCGACTTTACCCGAACGAGCGTTATACATTCCATCCTGGTTGCTCAATCTCATTCACTCCCTACAAAAAAAAAGTGCGAAACGCCCCTAGTTTTCCTTTAAAAATTATAAATGTTTGTCAATTCAACTGATGTAAAAGATGCTACTCTCAAAGATATGGACCACTGTAATTCTCTCTCCACAATTTCGACAAATGGGCGGGTTTTCTTTAGTAATTAAGTAAAGGTGCGTTTATTTAGTTTTTAATGAGTTCATAGGTAATTTTCAAGAGTTTTGAATAGAATTAATCACCAGTTTTCTAGTACTTGATTTGATTCCACTATCTTAATATTAACAATAATTGATTGATTGGCCTAACCTTGAAATATATATATATATATATAGACGATTTATATTTTTAATAGTCGAAAAAATGGAAATATTTAAATGAATTGTAGTTTGTACAACATTACGTTTATTATACACATGTTTTGTGATCATTGTTCTAAAATATTTATTTTGTACTTTGCTCTCAGTTGAAGGGAGAAAAGCTCTATATTTGAGTTGTGGGAAAAAATCCGATTAAGTTTAGCGACACAAACCTCTTATCATGGAATTTTCATTAACCAGTTTCTGTAATCAATTATTTATTAGTAATTCTCCTCGGCGGTGCTCTACCATATTCGGCTAAAAATGATTGAGCAGAACTTAAGTTATTAGAAAGATGATGATAAGAAATATGGATATTTTACCATTTTTCGGACTAAAAATAACATTACATGGAAAATAAAAATAAATGATTAAATATTTTCGAAAAATACAAGATAATTCCAATATTAGAAAAAAATTACAGATAGGTTTAGCTTTATAGAGTTTATAAAACGGCTTTTGGGGTTAACAATGAAGAATAAAGTGGGTATCAAAGTAGTGAAATTTAAATAATAATGTAGCAACATTTAGCCCCTAAAAATATCGTTAAAACAACGGTACATCCACAATTTCTGCAAGGTTAAATCAGTTTACAGTTAAGAAGATAAAAACAATTTTAACTTGAAACATTTATCGTTTTAATAAAAATATGGCTCGTTTGAAGACTACTTCACACCACTGTATATATATATATATATTTCGAAAACGGCTCAATTACTCTGATTATAGTCCGATTTGATCCGAAGTTGGAGACAATTTTGAGAATGATATAAAATTGGTCTAATATCAATATCCCTCACAATTATATTTGCTTACTCATTGACGAAAATGGAGAAGCTTGGTATTCATATGGGAGACTAAAAAAAAAATTGTTGTGCTCTAAATTGAAAATGGTAACCGAGGAATGAATTAACTTCCAGATCTATAGTTTCATGTCTTCTTTGTCCTTCTCTTCCTCACCTTTTAGGCTATATGAGTGTGGAATTAATGCTTCATATCTGGTAACCATGCTTAGCTGTTATAAACGAAGCAGTGTGGCTTGGGTTAGGTTACTCAGCGTAGTAATCCTTTTTACTTTTACTTACGTATATAGTTCTGCGCATGCGCTTGATTTGATTGCCACGTTTTTACATCGTCTCTCACAGTTTCTCTTTTTTTAAGTGGAAAAAGTTTACTCTTTTTACTCAAAAACTATTAACGCCGAGATCAACACACCAGCAACAACAATGGACTAATACCACAGTGATTAGTGTTGTTATTTACTGTGTATTCTATAGACAGTGAAACCAGTGTCCGAGGTGCTTTATCGCTAGCCTTATCTGTCATAGCTACGTCTGATACTGCCCACTAGCAGTCGTGGCTCTGCCACGGATGAAGACGGACGGAGCTATGCTCGTCGTTTTTCCAAGTTCAAGGACACGCAGACGAAGTTTTATTTTCCTTATTTTTTTTTTTTTTTTTTTTTTTAGATGCGATATTTTCATCAACTGATGTCCACTAGAGGTCTTGTTCTGCTGGCTCGTAACTCACCACCTAAACAAAAACTCATCGCAGTAAGCGATCGACACCCCCCCGGAACTCCTCCAGCGAAAATTCA